TGAGCGTTTAACGCCCGCACGCCTGGAGATAAGACAATGCAAAAATATATATGCTTTTGGAATTTGAACACTATCTAGGAAACTAGGAGTATGCTAGCTAGTGCAGTAATGCTATCCCTAATGTTTGCCCTTATGTTTTCTAGGACGATGGGATTAATGCATTTGGTCAGTTAACAAAAGATTCTTGCCAGCATTGTGAATTTATGAGTTGTTCCTGTTCTACAGCTATTGTTCTGTACTTCTTTTTCAGGAGGGCCTTTTCTTATTGGTATTGTTGTTGAGGGAATTTGCACTCAAGTTTGACCAAGCTTCACTGATGGAAAGTGCACTTTCCTGAATGTCTGAATGGAGGCGAACTGTGAGAAAGTGCACTTCTATATCATAAGCATTAGATCGGCTACTGCACTTGCGGCTGTTAGAAAGCACCAAGCATCGTGTGGATGCAAATTTTTAATGTTGATTTGCACTAATTGCTATGTATGGATGGTTGAAAAATTCATACAGAACGTACTCCTGATTCTGAATGTCTTACACTGAAAATATTTATTTATTTATTTATTTATATGGGTAAGGTACCAGCACGGTTGGAGCTCTGGAGCCATTGGGTGGAAAAGAGAAGATCAAGATGGAGGGTAAGTTAGAGCATCTCCAACAGGCGCCGAACACGCCGCGCGCAAAAAACAGTTTTAGCGCGCGACCATCGCCTAATTTGGCGCGGCGCGCAGCGCTGACTCCAGCAGCCGTGCTAAAATGCAACGCGCACGCGCCGCTCCAGCAGCGCGCAAAAATGCAGCGCACGCGACTCTCGCACAAACAACATATGCATTCAAAAACAGAAGCAAAAAGATCAAAACAAACAAAAATAAATAGTTCAATTTCGTTATTACAACTCAAACAAACAGTTTATCGTTCAATACAACAAATAGTGCAATTAAACACAACAAATAGTTGAACAATACAATATCGAACACACAAATCGATGCTCTTTGTCGTCCATTCCATGACCACCACTCCTCAATGAGATCCTTCTGAAGATCATTATGCGCTGCGGGACGTGGAATGGCATGATAGGAGGCAACAAAACGGGCCACCCTTTCAGCCCTCCGTCGCACTCGCATGGGATATCCCAAGAGCTCATACCAAGAGTAGTCTACATCTTGGCCACGCCCATTCTCGATGATCATGTTGTGCATGATCACACAAGTGTGCATTATGTACCAAAGCATCTTCTGATCCCAAAATCTAGCCGGTTCTCTCACAATAGCAAATTGGGCTTGCAAATTCCCAAAAGCTCTCTCCACATCTTTTCTAGCCGCCGCCTGAGCATTGTGAGAATCAAGTTCTTTCTTACCTTCTGGCTTTTTCAACGGCTTGACAAAGGTTTGCCACTTTGGATAGATGCCATCCGCTAGATAATAGCCATAGTTGTATGTACGGCCATTTGCTACAAACTGCACCGGTGGCAACTCCTCATTTGCAATCTTATTCATCAGTGGTGACCGGTTGACAACATTGATGTCATTCAAAGATCCAGGCATTCCAAAGAATGCATGCCAAATCCAAGTCTCTTGATCGACCACCGCTTCATGTATTATAGTGGAACCCTTTTTTTGGCCGTGAAATTGCCCGCCATGCCTTTGGACAATTCTTCCAACTCCAATGCATGCAATCTATTGAGCCAAGCATGCCAGGAAAGTCGCGAGCTTTGTTCATCGCCAAAAGCCTTGCGACGTCTTCAGCGTTGGGAGATCTCAAATACTTCTCGCCAAACACTTGCACAATTCCGACTGCGAAGCGCTTGACACACATGACGGCTTGGCTCTCACCCATAGCCATGTGATCATCAACTAGATCAGCCGGTATACCGTATGCCAACATACGCAAAGCGGCTGTCACCTTCTGAAAGGTGCTATGCCCGAGCTCTCCGGCGGCATTCCTCCTTTGCTAAAAAAAGCGGTCATGGCTCGCTAGTTTCTCTGCAATGCGCCTGAACAACTCGGTGCTCATCCTAAACCGGCAACGAAAATACGACTCGGGGTATGTTGGATTCTCAGCAAAATAATGCCTGATTAATCTGTTGTGGGCATCGATCCTATCCCTGCAAATTTTCTGCCGACCCATAACCGAACCACCGTGCTTCAGTTTTTTATTGATATGCATAGCTAGGATCATTGCAAGATCCTCCTCCTATTTCATATCAAATTCTTCTTCGGAAGAATCATACGACGAACTCATCTACAATGTTGAATACTATGCTATAAATAAAAAACTACAATCAACATGCACAAAATTCATGGCTTTTGAGCAGTACATACCTTCTAGGCGTTTTGTCGAACACCTTGCGGGCGCCGAGCGGCTGCGAGCGCGCGCAAGGGGCGGCGGGACTAGAGGGGGGCCGATGAAAGCGCGCGCGGGGCGGGGATAGACAGGGGAAGCGCCGGAACGGTCGCCGGGTGGCGCGGTCGGCGGCGGCGGCGCGACTGGATGGGGGGTGGGAGGTGCGAGCGAGCGCGCGAGAGTCCAGCGCGCGGGACTACGTATGCCGCGCGCGCTGTTTTCGCGCGCCCGCTGGAGCAATTATTCCGGTTGCACGCGCGCTAAAACGAGGAATTTTACGGCGCGGCATTAATTTGGCGTGGCTGTTGGAGATGCTGTTAGGCCGTGACTTATTAAGGCTGAATCTGTGTCCGACCCGGCGTCAGCTGCCGGAGCCGGTGACATCAACGATGTGGTGCTTACTATAGACTAGTTGTAGGCATTATATAGTAGTTACCTTTTTCTTTTCTCTATATGAAACATGCATGTTTCTCCATGCAATTTTACTAGTGTTTTGTTTGATTCTGGTGCAATTATATTTCCCTTGACCTGTAGATCTAAACTGTCCATGTGGCCCGTGCAAATACGAAGTGTATCAAGTATTTTTTTTGTAACATTTGAATCTTTCTGACTGAAAAATAATTCTTCTCGTTCTAAATTATAAAGTCGTTCCGTCTTTTCTAGACGAAAGTTTAGAGAACAATGCGCACATGTATCATTTTATAGATTAAAGTTTGTAAACAATGGCGGTACACGCTGAAGCCGGCACTAAACGACATGGCGGACTGACAAAACAAAGAGAATGCATCTGTTGTGTAGAAGAAAGTAGCAAGGGAAATATGGAAAATCCTTTTCTGACACCGGACTCATTTGCACCCCTGTTGAATAAAAAAAATAAAAAAACTAGAAAAATTCAAAAAATTCCATTTTTTTTCTCATGGTAGAAAATTTAATGCGTGAGGTCCGCCCCAATTTTCAAGTCATTTGGACAAATGAGAAACTCTCGGCAAAAAAGACAAATTCGTGGTCTGTAAAACAGTTTACTGTTCATATAGTGTTTTGACCCGATTTGTTTTTTTCTGAGAGCGCCTCAGATGTCCAAATAAGCTAAAATTTGAAGCAAACCTCACGCAACAAATTGTCTACTATAAGAAAAAAATTGAATTTTTTTGAATTTTTCTAGTATTTTTTGTGAATCTTTTTCTGACCGGATGCAGATGAGCCTGGGTACCGAATCACTGCATTGTCTAGTAGTAACCAAACACTCTGAAGAGACCGGGAAATGTCTACTACAGTACTCCTTCCGTTTCTTTTTAGTCTTCATATAATGTTTGACTAACTTTATATTGAAAATAATCATCATTCATAATATCAAATCAATATTATCAGATGCACCAAAAAATGTATTTTTTTTCATACTATATAGTTTCAATATTACAGGTGTTCATAATTTTTCATATAAATTTGAGCAAACCTTGTGTAGTCCGACTTTGACCAAATTTTATACGCGGACAAGTAACGGAAGGAGTACTACTATCAAACATTCTGGCCGCTGAAGGACGACGCTGCTGCCGTGCACGTGGGGCCCTCGTAGAGCTCCGTCCTCTGCATCTTCTCCGCCAAGGTCTCCATCCCCATGTACAAGAGCAGGAGCCAGACGTAGGACAGGTACTCCCCGCCCGTGCCCAAGCCCTTGGCGTGCAGGTAGCCCTTGCACCTGCTGGCCGAGAAGCAGAGCATCTCCACCCACACGCCCTGGACCACCCTCCACATCTTCTCCTCGTCGCCCCTGTGCGAGTCCATGAGGTCCTCGGCGACGCTCCAAGCCTGTCGAACGACGCCGACGCCTGCCGAGCCCTGGACGTCGACGCCGTCGCCGTCCCTCTTGAGCAGCTGGACGACCTTGTGCGCGAGGCCCCTCTTGCCCCGCCGCCCCCGCGGAGGATCATCCTCGAGCATGTCCACGAGCTCGCCGCACGCGTCCCTGAACAGGTTGCGCCGGGCACCAGGCATCAGCACCTCTGGCTTCACGAAGAGGAGGTACGCCATGTAGTTGGACATCTCCCTGCAGCGCCGGGCGGCGGCGCTGGACGGGGACGGGTCCTCCTGGTCCTGGAGGAGGTGGAAGCAGAAGTCGGTGGCGAGGTGCCAGACCAGGACGCTCTCGTCGAACGGCCTCGACACGCTCGCCAGCACTATGGACGATATGCTGGTGCGCCCAACCCCGGCGACCTCCCTGCCGAGAGTCCACTGGCCCCGGTAGTCGTTGAACGCCCGGAACGAGTCCGCGCCGGCTATGTGACCCTCCGTCCACCCTCCGGCGACGTGGCCGTGGACGAGGCCGGTGATCTCCTTGGACGACGCACCCTTGCGCGGCTTCATGGTCCAGAGCTGGTCGAGCAGGTCCCTACAGCCCAGGCAGGCCGCCGCCTTCATGAGCCACGAGTGCTTCCTGCGGCGGGCGACGTACCCCATCAGGTTGTACTGCGCGACCTGGTCGGGCCATGTCCGGTACCCGGTACACAGCCGCTTGATCCTGCCGAACGTTTGGTGGATCACGGTGGGCAAGACGTACTCCATCACGAAAGCAGACCATAGCAGGGCGTACGTGATGGTGTCATAGGCCTGGTGGACCTCGCCAGCGCTGCCGCCGCGGTAGCGGAACACCGCGATCGCCCCCAGCAGGGTGGCCGGTGGCCGCGGCTACCGTCCGAAGACCTCGAGCCGAGGTGAGCACCTTCCAGCGGTTTAAGGCAGCGTTGTTGGTGAAGACAAGATGCGAGATGTCGTGCAGCTTCAGTGATTCCTTGGTGTAGAGCTGGTGGAAGGTGGCGGAGAGGCTGGATTTCACCAGGCGATGCGCTGTGTCCGGGTTGCTACGCACCAGGTGTTTCAGGCAGCTCAGCCGGCCGGAGTACGGGGGTGCGAGGTCTATGCATAGGTTGTAGGGCTTCCAGATTTCCTCTGCTTTACAGGTGCTGTCGTCCTCGCCGCCGCCGCTGTCTGATGTCTCCTGATGCAGTCTTCCCCTTCCATGGCTGGCCTCGAAATGCTGCGTTGCAGCTCCGACGTAGTCCTGAAGCGAATTCATGTCACTCTCGCCATTCCCTTCTGAGCCTGAAGAAGAGTCCACCAGGCTGTTGACGCTGACTCTCTTCAGGTCCCAGGGCTTGCATACGCACTTGCTAATCCCACAGAAGAACAGGAGAAGCGCTGGCGTGAAGATTCTCTGGAAATCTTCGCCATCTGCTTTGGATTTTGGCCACGACTTGACGAACACAAAAATAGCGGCCGCCACCTGTCGTAAGAGCCGAAAGAGTGAGCAGGAGCAAGTGTGAAGTCTATTTGAACCCTTTAATCTTGTTGTACAGTAAAAAAAACTCTCAACTAAAGAAAAAAAATCAGAAATACAAATTGCCCTCTACAAAGGTCAAAAGTGGTTTTTGAGGAGGGTGGTTTTCAACTATGCCATCCTTTTCCAGTTTGAAATTAAATCTGATAAACATTAGATAAGGTTTTCAAGCCATGAAAGAAATATCTTCAGGACTCAAAAAAAAATTCAGAGAAAAAGACATTAGGATAATAGGGACATGAATAAAATATATTTGGGGCTTGCAAATTATCTCTGGAAACTTTCCAAAATCAGATTGAGCTCTAGGAAAATAGAAAAAAAATGTCCTAAAAATCTAGTAAATTCCCAAAGCATTCTTATCGAATGTCTGAATGGTGTTCCTGCAATACCCTATGATGAGAAGCTCAGATGTTCACCGTTTAAAAAATTTGAGCATCGTCCTGTTTATTCCCAGTCGCCGAGTACGGGGAGAGCGCGACTTGGTCTGGACTTCTCCTTTGGAACTGTTGGTGCTACTACTGGTGATTCCAGTTCCCGCAATGGAGCAAGCGGTGCACCCTTGCGCAAAGATTTTATTCCAGAGGAGGTGACCATACTGGTTTGGGTGGTGATTAATGTATGGCCCAGTTCAACAGGCAGAGTTGTTCTTGCAATGAGAAAGCTGTGGCCGTTGAGTATTCAGAACTATTTCAGTTATACAATCAAGACGCACTCGTCAAATCTATCGTCAGTTGCTATTGTCTGTAAATGATTTCTTTCTGTAATTTAAGTCTTAAGCTAGTTGTAGTGATCATTTTAATCAATCATTACCTGTAATTATTCTCACTATATTCTTTTCTGTGGTATTATGCAGGATGAAGATGTATGGAATGAAAAAAGTTGGACGCTATGGCATTGGGTTCATTGACCCAAATACCGTTAATGAATACACATGGAAATTAGATGCATATTATAAAAAAAGTGTAGAGAAAAGCATGCTAGAGTTCTTGAAGCGCCTCAATAGCAATTAAGATATACTACTTCCTTACAACTTCCAATTAGGTTAATGCCACTGGCTCCGAAAGCACCAATTAGGAGAAATTGTATATAGCTACCTAATTGTATACATATATACATGTGTGTATCTATGTGTGAATTAATTATAATGGTGGTTGTGAGACATTCAATGATATATATATATATATATATATATATATATATATATGCATAACATGTACAATATGTAGCATCATAAAATACCAGCAAACGAAAAAGAATTAAATGAAAAACATAAAATTAAATGAAAAAGAAATTATAAACCCAAACCCCCCAAACTTTTAATACCGGTTGGTGTTACCAAAGGCTCCCTGCCCCCGGAGCTGGCTCGTGCCACGTGGTTGCCCTTTAGCACCGGTTCGTGCTGAACCGGTACTAAAGGGGGGGGGGGGCTTTAGTGCCCACACTTTAGTGCCGGTTGCCGAACCGGCACTAAAGGGCCTTACGAACCGGGGCTATTGCCCGGTTCTGCACTAGTGAGAAGAGGGCGACCCGAAAGCGATCTAGGAAATCCGCTGGCGGCACCGGCGTTCCCCACCGCTTCCGGCGGCCGGTTTGGCTGTCGGAACGGTGGGGGACCCTGGTGACTCGCGCAGCGGTGTGTATAGAGTTAGGTTTTGAGGTGTGCTTCCCCGGAGTCGTCGTCAGGGCGGTGAAGACGGCGGCGGGTGGAAAAATGGATGTCCCGGCTCCTTCCCGTCCGCTCGGTGTCGTTGTTAACGCCGGCGACGAGCCTGGGGGCTTTTGGGTGGCGGATCAGGGCTACCGGAGTCCGCGTTGGGGGTTTTCGCCGCTGGGTTTGGTGGCGGCGACCGTGGGGGCGAAGGGTGTGTCTGGGTTGCGTGCCCTATTATGGGCTGTGGTCTTGAGGCGGCTCGGTGTCCTTCGAGGCTCCTGCGTGCTGGAGTTACGGTGAAGGAGCTGGTGCTGTCGTTTTGGGCCGGTGGAGGGCCTGATCTGCGGGTGATATGTGGAAAGGCTGCTGCTTCTTACTCGTTATCGTCTCCGTTCGTGTGTTTTCTGCCTCTTCTTCTCCGTGCGGCGTGTTGCTGCTGGGGAGGCCTGCTGAGCCCGGGGTGGATCCCCGGCTGATGTTCTGGAACCCGTCCTCTGTTCTCGTCCGTTGGACGGGACACATATGCGGTCCTCAAAGCCCTTTGTGGTGATGGCGTTTGCAGGCTGCTTGGTGGCTTCTTTGCTGCTGCTCTTCAGTGGTGGTCGCTGTCGGAGGAAGACTGGATCTCGCGCGGCGGAGACGCGGCCGGGGTTGAAGATGGCGACTGGCTGGGCTTTGTTGTTTCTTGTTGTTTTGCTGGGGTCTCTATGCAAATATTCAGCTGCTATGTACTCTAATCTTAATTTACTCGCAAAAAAAAACTCTAATCTTAATTACTTAGACTTGTGCTTGGCCGCATGAATATGCGACGCTCACCCCTTCTAGTTAGGATACCTGCAGGTTACCAGCAGGTTTCTACGGAAACAAAATTCCCAAAGCCTAAACAATCATACGCAAGCGGCTTAAACGAAAGAGCCTTAATAGATGCATCCGAACATTATTAGGATGTTAAGTCGTCCATGAAATGCAAGCACTGACCTGAGACACCGCTGTTACGACATGCCGCTTCCACAGCTCGTTGTCTTCGATGTTGTAGGCAGTTATGCTGTCCTGGCCGCCCAGGTGCACCAACAGGATTGGCGCCCACAGCAGCTCCACGCCGGGGAGGCCTTCGGTGCAGCACCTGCGGGAGTTGAAGAGGGTGGCAAGGGCGTAGATGGCCACGGCATCGCTGCCCAGGTAGGCCAGCCAGATGGAGAGCCTCAGCAAACCTGGGACTCGATGCTGACGAAAGGGCGCGAAGACGAAGAGGAACCACTGGATGGCGAGGCTCGCGAGGACGAGGATGGGCAGCTGGCTTACTTGCCAGAACTTCAGGGCTTTGGCGAAACCCGTATTGTCCTCAGTGCACTCATCCATCTCTCTCAGCTCTCAACTCTAGCTAGCTAGCGGATGAACGGGGGGATGGACCGGCCGGCCGGGATAGATGTCCTCCAAGCTCCCGTCCTCTTAGTTGCTCCCCCCTCAAATAGAGAACTACTACTACGGTTCTGAGTCCGAGCTAGCTATTCATCCGTAAAGGAGTGAGTAATTAATAACTCAGCCTTTTCCGCAGGAGACGGAAAGATGAAATAGCTTACTCCAACTAAGTCCACCGCTGATTTTTTGTTTTGAGATTATTGTCTACCACTGATCTCCATGTACTATCCTGTGTGCTACCAGTCCACTACTCCTTCCACTGAGTGCATGTGGGCCTGGTATGTTCTGAGCCCTTACGGCGTTTTCTACCCCAAGTGACGCAAGTTGGTACTGACAAAATATTTCATACAGTATATATAAAGTACATATACGAAAGGTGGTCCGCGGCTCTCCTCGTTATCCTCTCCTTGTAGCCTCGTGATCGCAGTTGAGAACACTATGCCAAATTTTGGACACACGACTTCATGTGTATTTCATTAAGACTAGATAATTGCCCGTGCGTTGCAACGGGAGTATAAACATACTATTAGATTAGCCCGTGACTGCACGTCTATTATTTTATTGCTGCGCTAAAATCTTAGCAAGTTTTTGTATGTAATTGTCATGATTTACTTGCCATTTTATTGTTATAAGCACATATTTGGCAAGAATTTAAAGACTTACCCAACAAAATAAGTTTTTATTTTGGTAATTTCAGAAAACATCAGACAATTGATTTTGTTTCAGAAAGAACAAATGGAAAAAAAAATCAGAAATGAGAGAAAAAATTCAAAGAGGAGAAGGAAAGAGTGGGATGTATATAAAGAAAGTTGGATGAAAGACAGGAGAAATGAGAACCTTACGTTCCTTCTAAGTAGTAAATTTTTTAGATTGTTGTCTACCGTTGATCTCCATATGCTATCTTGTGAGCTACCAGTCCAGTACTCCTTCCACTGATTGCATGTCGGCCTGGTATGGTCTGAGCCCTTACGGTGTTTTCTACCCCAAGTGGACTAAGTTGGTACTGACAAAATATTCCATATAGTATATATAAAGTACATATATGAAAGGTGGTCCGCGGCTCTTGTCGTTATCCTCTCCCTGTAGTCTAGTGATCGCAGTTGAGCATACTATGCCAAATTTTGACACACAACTTCACGTGTATTTCATTAAGACTAGATAATTGCTCGTGCGTTGCAACGGGAGTATAAACATTCTAGTAGATTAGCCCGTGACTGCACGTCTATTATGTTGTTGATGCGCTAAAATCTTAGCAAGTTTTTGTATATAATCGTCATGATTTACTTGCCATTTTATGCTTATAAGCACTTATTTGGTAAGAATTTAATGACTTACCAAACAAAATAAGTTTTTATTTTGGTAATTTAATAAAACAAGAGACAATTGATTTCATTTTAGGAAGAATAGATGGAAAAAAATCAGAGACGAGAGAAAAAATTCAAAGAGGAGAAGGAAAGAGTGGGATGTATATAAAGAAAGCTGGACGAAAGAGAGGTGAAATAAGAACCTTACGTTCCTTTTAAGTAGTAAAATTTTGAGATTATTGTCTACCACCGATCTCCATGTGCTATCCTCTGTGCTACCAGTCCACTACTCCATCCACTAATTGCATGTGGGCCTGGTATGTTCTGAGCCCTTACGGCGTTTTCTACCCCAAGTGACCCAAGTTGGTACTGACAAAATATTCCATATAGTATATATAAAGTACATATATGAAAGGTGGTCCGTGGCTCTCCTCGTCATCCTCTCCCCGTAGCCTAGTGATCGCAGTTGAGCATAATATGCTAAATTTCGGAACACGACTTCACGTGTATTTCATTAAGACTAGATAATTGCCCATGCGTTGCAACGGGAGTATAAACATTCTAGTAGATTAGCCCGTGACTGCACGTCTATTATTTTATTGATGCGCTAAAATCTTAGCAAGTTTTTGTATATAATCGCCATGATTTACTTGCCATTTTATTGTTATAAGCACTTATTTGGTAAGAATAGAATGACTTACCAAACAAAATAAGTTTTATTCAGGTAATTTAGTAAAACATGAGATAATCAATTTTATTTTAGGGAGAATGGAAGGGAAAAAAATCAGAGATTAGATAAAAAAATCAGAGAGGAGAAGGAAAGAGTGGGATGTATATAAACAAAGTCGGATGAAAGAGAGGTGAAATGAGAACCTTACGTTTCTTTTAAGTATTAGAAATTTTGAGATTTTTGTCTAACGCTGATCTCCATGTGCTATCTTATGTGCTACCAGTCCACTACTCCTTCCACTGATTGCATGTGGGCTTGGTATGTTCTGAGCCCTTACGGCGTTTTCTACCCCAAGTGGCCCAAGTTGGTACTGACAAAATATTCCATATAGTATATAAAAAGTACATATATGAAAGGTGGTCCGTGGCTCTCGTCGTCATGCTCTCCCTGTAGCCTAGTGATGGCAGCTGAGCATAATATGCCAAATTTCGACACACGACTTCACGTGTATTTCATTAAGACTAGATAATTGCCCGTGCGTTGCAACGGTAGTATACACATTCTAGTAGATTAGCCCGTGACTACACGTCCATTATTTTATTGATGCACTAAAAGCTTAGCAATTTTTTGTATATAATTGCCATGATTAACTTGGCATTTTATTGTTATCAGCACTTATTTGGTAAGAATTGAATGACTTACCTAACATAATAAATTTTTATTTGGTAATTTAGTAAAACATGAGATAATTGATTTTATTTTAGGGAGAATGGTAGGAAAAAAATCAGAGATTAGAGAAAAAATCAAACAGGAGAAGGAAAGAGTGGGGTGTATATAAACAAAGTTGGATGAAAGAGAGGTGAAATGAGAACCTTACGTTCCTTTTAAGTGGTAGAAATTTTGAGATTTTTGTCTACCACGGATCTCCATGTGCTATCCTATGTGCTACCAGTCCACTACTCCTTCCACTGATTGCATGTGGGCTTGGTATGTTCTGAGCCCTTACGGCGTTTTCTACCCCAAGTGGCCCAAGTTGGCACTGACTAAATATTCCATGTAGTATATATAAAGTACATATACGAAAGGTGGTCCGCGGCTCTCGTCTTTATCCTCTCCCCGTAGTCTAGTGATCGCAGTTGAGCATACTATGCCAAATTTCAACACACAACTTCACGTGTATTTCATTAAGACTAGATAATTGCCCGTGCGTTGCAACGGGAGTATAAACATTCTAGTAGATTAGCCCGTGACTGCACGTCTATTATTTTGTTGATGCGCTAAAATCTTAGCAAGTTTTTGCATGTAATCGTCATGATTTACTTGCCATTTTATTGTTATAAGCACTTATTTGGTAAGAATATAATGACTTACCAAACAAAATAAGCTTTTATTTTGGTAATTTAATAAAACATGAGACAATTGATTTCATTCTAGGAAGAATAAATGGAAAAAATATCAGAGATGAGAGAAAAAATTCAAAGAGGAGAAGGAAAGAGTGGGATGTATATAAAGAAAGTTGGAGAAAAGAGAGGTGAAATGAGAACCTTACGTTCCTTTTAAGTAGTAAAATTTTGAGATTATTGTCTACCGCCGATCTCCATGTGCTACCAGTCCACTACTCCTTCCACTGATTGCATGTGGGCTTGGTATGTTCTGAGCCCTTACGGCGTTTTCTACCCCAAGTGGCCCAAGTTTGTACTGACAAAATAATCCATATAGTATATATAAAGTACATATACGAAAGGTGGTCCGTGGCTCTCGTCAGTCATCCTCTCCCCGTAGCCTAGTGATTGCAGTTGAGCATAATATGCCAAATTTCGACACACGACCTCAAGTGTATTTCATTAAGACCAGATAATTGCTCTTGCGTTGCAACGGGAGTATAAACATTCTAGTAGATTAGCCCGTGACTGCACGTCTATTATTTTTTTGATGCGCTAAAATCTTAGCAAGTTTGTGAATATAATCGCCATGATTTACTTGCCATTTTATTGTTATAAGCACTTATTTGGTAAGAATTGAATGACTTACCAAACAAAATAAGTTTTTATTTTTAAAAATTAGTAAAAGATGATGTAATTGATTTTATTTGAGTGAGAATGGAAGGTAAAAAAATCAGAGATTAGAGAAAAAAATCAACGAGGAGAAGGAAAGAGCGGGATGTATATAAAGAAAGTTGGATGAAAGAGAGGTGAAATGAGAACCTTACATTCCTTTTAAGTAGTAGAAATTTTGAGATTTTTGTCTACCACCGATCTCCATGTGCTATATTATGTGCTACCAGTCCACTACTCCTTCCACTGATTGCATGTGGGCTTGTATGTTCTGAGCCCTTATGGCGTTTTCTACCCCAAGTGGCCCAAGTTGATACTGACAAAATATTCCATATAGTATATATAAAGTACATATACGAAAGGTGGTCCGTGGCTCTCGTCGTTATCCTCTCCCCGTAGCCTAGTGATCGCAGTTGAGCATACTATGCCAAATTTTGACACACGACTTCACGTGTATTTCATTAAGACTAGATAATTGTCCGTGCGTTGCAACGAGAGTATAAACATTCTAGTAGATTAGCCCGTTACTGCACGTCTATTATTTTCTTGATGCTCTAAAATCTTAGCAAGTTTTCGTATATAATCTCCATGGTTTATTTGCCCTTTTATTTTTATAAGCATTTATTTGGTAATAATTTACTGACTTACCAAACAAAATAAGTTTTTATTTTGGAAAATTAATAAAACATGAGACCATTGATTTTATTTTAGGGAGAATGAATGGAAGTAAAATAAAAGATTAGAGAAAAAATCAAAGAGGAGAAGGAAAGAGTGGGATGTATAGAAAGAAAGTTGAACGAAAGAGAGGAAAAATGAGAACCTTTCTTTCCTTTTATAAGTAGTAGAAATTTTGAGATTTTTGTCTACCGCTGATCTCCATGTGCTATCCTATGTGCTACCAGTCCACTACTC